AGACAACCTTCAGGGCACAGCAGCAGAGGAACTACCTCTCCTCCCTATTTGGTGTTGCATCCTGAAATAGGCATTTCTGTATAAATGTGTGGGTAAGCAATCTCCATGTTTGGTAGCTTAAAATAAAGGCACTCCATTGAGAACACAAAATTGGAGCTTGCTACATTTTCTGTAATCCAATGCTTTAAACGCACCAAATTAAAACAAAAACAAAAATCAATGTGAACGATCATGAAAAGAAGTGACCGAGTGGCAGATTCCATGAAGATATATTTGTCTGCCTGAGCAAACAGTATTGCTTCTAGCTGAATCATGCTCACAAGTGAGGCATGCACAGCGTATGCAGAATTGTAGAAGGGTGAAGTTTACAAGTAAGATGCCTATTTCTATGGAGAAATATATAAAACTTTACTTGCACTGCATAATACCGAAGAACAGTGTGCAAATCCTGCATGTATTCAGAAAGATTCAAAAAAATTACTCAGATAATAAGATCCTCCTGGAAATGTGGCTTACAATCTACCTTTATGGGCATGCAATGGAAATGAACAGCCACTTTTTCCTAACCCTGAAAGTCAGCAAAAGAACTTCCTCTCTGAAAAGCCGACCTTGGCTTGCTATATACAACTGACTATATACTAACAGCCTCTCACAGCCAGCTTTGCTCAGTGCATTGCTCATTGAAAGCACTTAAGGCACATCCATTGGGGATTTTAAACTTTTCATATTGCACACCTATTTTATATACACTGTATATTTTTGTGATTTCAGAGCAGAATATCTAATGCCTCTATTTTGCACTGAATTTTTCAGTTTTGCATACTCCTGCTTACATTTGGTTGCTTAAATCTTTCTCTGTAACTACTGTCACAGACAGATATTGCTAAGAACCTCACAACTTGTCTTTTACTGTTGTATGTTCTGAGGCATGAGTTTCCCTGGCAGGTCTTTTCTTTCTGAAGAATGAATACATTCAGGGAAATGTATTGCTGTGGGAACACAAGCCTGGAATAGGAAACTTCTTACCACAAAATATCACTGCTCAAGAAGCAGTATCATAAACCTGATATGGATAAAGACTGTTCCAAGTCCACCTGTCAAGAAAGAGCTCAAAGTTCAGAAATATGTTCTTACAGACCTTTAGAACAAACAGAAAAACAGCATTTGCATTAAAAGCACATTCAAACCATATAAAATACTGTAAATAATATCCAAAAAATCTGAGACACAGTGGTTACAGATTATCAAAGGCAGAGACAGTTGAATAGCAAGTTTTTTTTTTTTCCTTGGCAACAGCAGCAATTTTGGCACAAAGGCAAGTGCGGAAGAGAGAAAAACAGCCAGAGAGACGAGTACAGAGAGGGGTTACAGAATCTGCCACAAGCATGCCACAGTTGAGCAGGACCAAAAGCACAGTAACAGCATTCCCCAGCTTCCTTTCCCAGGAGAGAACGGCACCGCTTAAAAGCTTGTTAACCATGTCCCCAGCTGAAGGGGAGGTCCGTACTGCAAAAGCCACCTTGAATAAAACCTGCCTTTAAACATCCCATGCAACCTTAATCACAGGTTAAGGTAAGGTGCCCTGCAGGCTCCTAGGCAAACCAGACCCAAGTGTCACATAACGGTGATTCCAGCTGCCTGCTAAAAACTCTCAGCTTGCACATCACAGACTGTGCCCTACAGCTATAGTGACTGCAATACAAGGGCTAGACAAACAGCATGTAACACCAACTGAGAGTGTGACTGCACACCCAGGGACTGACCTTCTAGCAAAGCTAACACATGCCAGCGCGGTTAGCAACATCCCACAATAAAGTGCCTGTTGTGACTGATCTTACCTCGGCTGACCACACCTATTGGAGGTTACTTGGAGTTTGCATATAGTTTAAGCTCTAAGCTAGCCAGAAAAAAAAGCTAAACTGACTGGCAGCGTGAAAGTCGGTATGACCGTAAGGGGAAAGCCCATGCACTTTATATTCATTTGGTATTCCAGGTGCCTTGCACAAAGCCTAAAGTTCCCACTGAACAAGCACTTCGCTAACTCAGGACTGAATTTGACTCAGAGAGTACAAAACTTAAGAACAGAAGAGGCTTTTGTCTTCTATATACCCTTTGATTAGTGTTCCCGTTGCACAACTTGCCTTTACCTTCTAAGTTATCTCCATCCAATGGTAAATCTGTGCACTTTGTACTTCTACTTTTCCTTTAGAAGCAGCTGAAGGAAAGGAAAAGCAGCAGCTTTTCCTTTAGAAGCAGCTTACACTACACATAAGGCTAATTCAGCAGTTACTACTGGTTCAGACTTTCAGGGTCTGAAACTGCAAGTGCCTAATTTCACAGCCCTTCACTTACCTCAAGGGAAGTTAAAACATTTTCAGACAGGCAACTTGTGCTTGGGGAGTCCTTCAGACAGGTGAAGCAGAGGCTTAGGAACGGGGCTCTACCGCTTATCTCTGATTGAAGCAGGTTTGTACTTAAAGTATTGGTCTACTCTAAAGTGCAAGTAGAATACCTAGAGTCTCTAACACGTACCATTTAATAAATTGAAATGTTATACACAAAGATAGTTCAAAGTCAGTAGTTACACAGACGTAATTTTACAGACTTCCTTTCATTATTTAGGAATAATATCCTAATATTCCACTGTAATATCAAGCTTAGTAATTCAAAAGTTAATTTTTTTCTTTCCTTTTTTCCCCAAGACGTACTGTGCTGTAAACACATCACAGATGACCTAACCTATCCAGCAAGAACAGGAACTGAGGAGAGGAGGCTGAAGGACATGACTTACATGGGCTAACAGAGAACTGACCTGCATTGGAGATTACCTCTCAAGTGCACTGCATTTAGACAGCTCCTCCCATCTCTTAACCGATTCCCAAGAACTTTACGATGATATACTTAGAACCTTATACTTCACAAAAAATATGAAATCTCATCTACAAATGGATTTTTTTGTGGCAGAAAGGGGAGAATGGCAGTGCTCACCCTTTCACCATGAAAGGTGCTTCTATCATGCACACATGAGCATGCGACACACTACATTGCCTTAAAGAGACCTAACATGACACAGCTAACCTGAGTATTTTTCAACGTACTTGTGTACTACAAGAAGTAGAGCTTTAAAGGAGCCAAAAGCTTTAAAAATGATGCTTCAATTTTGCACTGCTATAAAAAAAATCAGAAAGCCAACAGGAACCCTATATTTCAAGTTTTAACCTTTGATAGAAAGAGCATCCTTCTCTGGAGGAAGTACAGATCTGCTACAGGACTGTGCCACCATTACATAAGGAGAACTGGAAATATCTCATCAGAAGTTTATAGCAAACTGTGGTCTATGACTTAGTGATCACTGAGATAGTATTTACTGAATGCTCATTTACAACTATGAGTAATTAAATTTAATCAGTTGGAAGGACTAAACCAGAGGAAGGAGAAGTTCTGCTAGCACTTGCTTTGTTAAGCTAATTGATATACACAGCTAAGCTCTCTTTCTTCCACTTCTTATACAAATAGCTTCACATAAACCTCCTTCTACTCATATGAGATACTCCATGCATAACAGCTCCAAGAAATATCCTTCCATTCATCTCAAAGAGAAATTGCTTTTACAGAGAGCAATTTTAACTCTAGCTAATTATATAAAAATGCTGTAGTTATGCCACCTGCATACTTAGAACCTACTTCACAAGCAATATGAAATCTCAGCTACGAAATGGCATTTACAAATGGCATTTTTTCAATATGTTTTTCCTTTTCTCCATCCTGCCATCTGGAAATCATCACAAACAAAAAATAATACTATCTAAGTAACTATGTTGCAAGAATCAACTGCACACAGTAAAACAAATTTCTGTTTGACTACATTTGGCTACAGTCTTATAAGCACTTGAAGAATAATATGCAAAGTCAAACAAAAGCGTGATTTTTATCTGCCTGTATGGCTGGTAAGGCTTTTTCCTCAACTGGCACTATGAGGACATTCTTTTCTCAAAGCCTTGTTATCCAGTATGTTCTCTCTCCTAAAACCAACTGATTCCGTTTTTCCAGAGTGTTCTGGGCAGATACTAGAAATCAAATCTCTTCCTTTTTCCAGCATCACTAAATGAACATGTAGGGGCAGGGCCAATGAGCATTTGTAGCACAGACGTTTCTCCCAGGTTAGAAAGAATTAGAATTTTAAGTTGAGAGCCAAATATATTTCACAGGAAGACACACTCACCACCCAATTCCCAAAGCCATGGCAAGGAGCAGCACAAATTCTGGCAGTGAGGGGGGAGCACCATGACCTGCCAGCACCATGAAATTCAAGGAGTTTAAGGAATCCGAGCCCATGAGCTGTCAAAGATACCCAGAAGTCTAAAGGAGATACAATCCAGAGGTAACAGAACCTTCCCCATTCAAGTAACAGATTAATGAAGGAGAATGAGAAACAACAACCAAAATTCAGGCAAACACAGAAATCCAGTTTGTAACTTATTCCAGTCCAGGAAGGATTTTTAACACCAACACTGCAGTGCAGACATTACAGACTAGGTGTCTTTATGTGGGTCCAATCAAAGGATGCCCTTACTGGAATATCTGTGTTTTCCTGGATTTATTTCAGATAACTTCCCTGAAAGAACTGAATACATCTAGGCCCCAAAGCCACAATGCAAAACAATATATTGAGACTTTCACAAAACACCCCAAATTCACACAGTACCCCAAAATCACAGGAGATATACAGCTTACCAAGTTGGGTCACATTAATTCTTAGTGCTCAGCAGGCTGCCCACAGAATTCCCCTAGCATCTGCACAAGAACTTCCGACTGGACATAGAGAAAGGGAACCCCAAAAGCCATCAGCTGACACATGAAAAAAGAGTCCAGAGGGTTCTGGGCTATATGGTGCCCCATCGAGGAAACTGTGCTTTGCAGGTGCTGGCTTGCCACCCTAACTCTGTGAAAGAGGCTGAGCGAGTACTGCACCACCCTGCCAAAGAAGCAAGCAGAGCTACCTGGGCTCCTCTCTGCTGAGGCCGAGATGGAATTTGCCCGTCCATTCCCATCACTTGCCATGGCGTCCTGCAGAGGTCCCTTGGTGTCCTGTAAAAGTGGGGTAAAAAACAAAACCAGGTTAAAATTCAAAATGCCTCAAAAATACTGTTTTTTTCTTCATGTGAGGCATTAAGTGCAGAGCACACTGAACTAGGAATATATCCCCCTGACAATTAAGATAGCCCTTAATCATTGCATAGGCACAGTATGAACAAATATATTGCATCTCAACTTATAGATTGGTTAAAGCTCTGAAAAGCAATCTGAATATCCAAGAAAACCAAAGCAGTGAAACTCCTGAAGTCTAATCTGGGAAACGAAACACATCAAACACTTAACAAAAGTTTCATCTTTGTTATTTATTTTCTGCAGGAAATGTAGCACCAATACTGGGACAGTACCTGTACCCTTCCAAACAAAGTACACTTTTAGCTTGTAGTGATAAAATTTCAGAAAAGGGCAGAAAGACAACCAGAAATGAAAATATAATCTAAGCAAGAAGGACAGCTGCATGCAACTTAACAGAACTCAAATGCAAGCTAACTACCACGTAGCTTGCTTAGAGTAACAGCATGCAATACACTGAAAATAGAGATGAGGACAGAAATTATGTCTAACACCTCTCAGACTGTAAAGGCAAAAGCAGGGAGACCTTTCTCTATGTTTAAAGTACAAATGCTCTGATAATGACAGAAGAGCAAAATCATATCCTCTTTTTCCATTCAGGTTCCCACTAATGCACAGCTAACCATCAGAAAAGCAGGCAGGTCTTATGGCCTTTATGGGCTCTGCAAGTGATTTGGAACTGCATGTCCCAAAAGAAATGAAAAACATTTGTTTCATCTTATGGAAAACCACTAAAGAAACAAAGCAAAAATGAAACTGTAAATACAATGCCTTTAGTCTTTGCATGGAGTAAATAAGATTTTCAGTTTAACAAGAAAACAAATCAAAATCCTATTCTGAAAGGTACAATATATTATCTTACAGAAAGAATCAGGAAAAGCAAAGCAGTGCTTATAGGTGCTTATAGTGCTTATAGGCTTATTTGCAAAACAGCAAACCCCCATGAGAAACAAAACAGTTGGACATGTTTTGACACAAAATGAGAAAACATATGGAAATTCCATTTCTACTGTTAAGAATGAAAACGTACTAACTTCACATGTTAGACGAAAATAAACAGTTACCTTTCCTGACAGAGGAGCCACTGCTGGCCTCTTCCTCTGAGCATAACCAGAGAGCCGGTAACAGTAGTGAGGCTTACAGTAGAATTTACCTGCAAACCAAACAGCAAAGAAGGTTAACAGAAGCACAGCAGTTTAACAAAATACAGATATTCACCTCAGTGGAGCTTCTTTTCTGCCATTTCCTTCGCTCTATCTGGTTTAGTGGCTGTGCATGCAGACAAATACACTAGAGTTTAACTCCAGCCCTCCTCTCCCGCTCCGAGCCACGCTCCCTTCCGCCGGGAGCCCGACAGCCATTTAGCCCCATGTCCCATCAAACACCAAAGCAAAGCTGTGAGGCTTGTGTGGTATCACATGCTAACAATGCGGCAGTGTGTGAAGAACAAAGAAATCATCACATGAAAAGCTGGCAGAAACACTTTTGGAAAAAGCAAGAATGAATGCAACCAGCAGAGGAAGGCGGGAAAGGACCGTGTTAACTCCCAAAGAACCATCTCAAAATGCACAACGGCTGCTTGTGAAAAGAACACTCAACCAAAGAGCCATTTTTGCAATTTCAGTTTCTATGATACTACTAATTTAGGTTTAAATGGGCCTTCATCAGTATCTGAACACTGTCAGGAAGATTCCCTAGTGATTCCCTAACACAAACTGTAAGCGCAGCAAACTGATAGCTGATTGTTATCTTCCAGTGTACCTCCATATATCATCAGGGTGCAGCCTCCTTATTGCTCTCCTACTCCCACAACCTTGCTAATGCATTTCACATTCTCTCTTTTGAGATATCTATGCTTGAATAAACTTCTCTTAGTACTGATCTTTCTAAATACTATTCTCTCCAAATGTCTGCTTCAGGGAAATTTATGAAAAGAGCAACAACCAAAATGTTCTTATACAAATTTCTCGGGCTTTCGGAGCCTAAAACCAGGCACCGACTGTACAGTGCTGACTCATCAGTCCACCCAGCTAGATGAATAGTAACAATGTCTGTACAGCTTCGTTTTTTTCCTGTCAAAGAAAACTCAGAATAAAATATGAACTAAATCTGCAGTAACAATGGTTAGACTAGAGAGGATGCAAATTACTGTTAGGACACATCTGCTTCACACATATATTTATGAAGCCATTGGGCACATAGGAATCAATGCTACAGGTGTGCTGAGACTTCATGTTCTGTGCTGCTTCATTCAGAACATAACCGTGTACATAAATTTGCTCCTGCAGAGATTACTAAACTAGCAGCAAAACGTATTTCTGCCCATACAGCTGACAGAAGATCTGTTTGTTATTGCTAAACATATGATCAGATACTCAAGTCCTTTTGAATGTCCAAAACAAGAACAGTGCCCCCAAACTGTTTTTTTTTTTCCCAAAAATTGATTACTAATGGAGCTGTCACTACTCTTTTCATATGTTGAGTTCCAAATTACCCCTGGTCCACTTAAAAGTCTCAAGCCCTGTTTGGTGACCTTCTGGCCAAGTAATAAAGGGCTTTCTATTCCTTACTGAGAGATTGGTTTGATGATTTTAAGATTCCTCAACTCTTCTTGTGACCAAACAAGTCCATTACTCATGACTGCTATACAGTTCATAATCAATACGTGCATTATTTCAGCTATTTTTTGCCCATTATGCCTCAAAGACGTTTCTATGGCTATTATTCTACATAGCTATGTGCAGTAAACTTTACGAACTTTTTAATCTGCAGCAGAATATTCTGGAATTTCAACTCACGTCATGTCAGTTGAGAATTTTGCTCACTAGGTGGGGGTAAATATTGATTTTCTATCACTTTTCTGTTATTCTGTCTTCTTGAATAGATGAATACTCCATCCTATCTGGTGCAGAATTCCTCCTATTTAACCTCTCACTAGAGCTTCATCAATTTTTACCTGTTTCCTTATGGAGTAAAGATAAATGGCAGCTGTGAGAGAAGGCAAAGGTGTACCTGTTGATATGTATAAAGGTTTATCTGAGATACTTTCTCCTTTATTCTTGCTTCAAAAAATATGAAATTTATGACAGCCATTGTTCAAAGAATGCAACACATGGCTACTTTTTAAAGATGATTACTCCTTAAAGGAGGTGTAGATTAAAATGTATTCCTTTCAATATGCACACTTTGCACTGTTAATGGTGGATTGAGTTTCATCTGCTGCCATATCATCCATTTTCTCAGATTTGCCTGGTATATCTAAAGCTCCCTTTAATTACGTTAGACTCTGTAAGCTGAGACATCAGCACATTCTCTAATCATATTCCCTCCTCTTCAGTCCAACAGACACAGAAAACAAGAGCTATCACTGATTCTTTAGTAACTACTTCAACAAAACTTTCTACACTTATATGATATTCACTCACCTCTACTCAGCTTCCAGGCTCCATCATTCAGTATGATAACAGAACTTAGTCTGCAATGAGCCAGTATCATAGCCCTTGATTACAAAATTGCTATTGTATTTGCCAAAAATAAATGTAGAGTTGGACTGCTGTGATCTCTTCAACAACAAAAACAAAGCTGTTTGCAAGTCTCCCAACATGTTATATTCTTTTAAATGCTTTTAAACGCTATTGTGAAGTGTTTGCGAATTATTGTGAAGTACTGAACTAAGTGCAAAGCATCTACCCTTCAACAACAGTTTCAAAACCCTTTTTAAGTCCTCCAAAATGATTTGCTTCTTTGCCTTCCAGGAGGTATTTCTTAATATTGAATTAATTCCTAATAGCACTATTATTTTGCTGCTAGAGTGATCTGGCCATAGGAGAACAGATCCACACAGTTTCAGCATTATGAGGGATGGTGTCTTTGGAATAGAAGTTGCTCCTTTTTCCAACTCATCAAATGATTTGTAAGTGAACAAAGAGTTGAATTCACTATACGGACTCAAACGAGTGCTAAGATAATTCTGACATAAAGGCAATTTCTCTTACCATCTTCGATATCATAGGCGTAAGATGACAACCGTAGAGTGGTGGCACAGTATTCACACTTGAAGCAACTGCGGTGGAAGAACTTGCCTTCAGCACTCAGTCTTTCCATCACGTAGACTCGTTTGTGGCAGAAGTAACACACATCACTGCCTCCCACGTTTTGGGGGAACTCCTTTTTGAGAGAGCCCTGGACAGAAATGGGCATGAATACATTTATGAGTGTCCAACCTCACCAAGATTCCATGGTTGCATTTTCTCTTCTTCTGTGTGGACACTGGAGCACTTGGATGCTGCAGTTCTTTGACAAAATTCACAGCTTTAGCCAAGACACCAAAAACCTTCATGTCCACAGAACCAGGTTCTAGGATGCCAGCCTACATGTATCAGTAGCAAATTACAGCTCTGGATAGAGTGGACACAAGTACAGTTAAAGCTGTCCTTGAAATTAATGCCTCAAGGAGGCATGCAATGGAAAGGCAAAATCAGAATCAGAAATCCCTCAAATGACAATTCTTAGACCTATATTATGGAAGAGGATCTCTCCTTCAGGAAACAAAACACAATACTAGCCCCAGCAGATCAAACACATCTTCATGAATATGGCAAGCAGTTTCTTAAGGACATATGTACAACCCATGGTCATTAATATCAGATTTCAACATTTTGCAAGGAAAATGAGGACAAGAGTGAGGATGGAAGGAGAAAGGGAAGTCTTTCACAAAGCTGCTACAGACGCCATCAGCTGCAGGCAACAGCTGGACACTCACGTTACACCAGATCTACAGCAGAGCTAATCACAAACACGCAGCGTCTTCTGCACGTTGTCTTACCAGTTCCTTCTTGTCTAGAAGGGTTTTGGGTTGCTCTTTCCTTTGCAGCTGATTAGCTATCTGCTCAGCCAAAGAGCTCACTCCGCCTGTGTACATCTTTATATACTTCTACCATGTGGATGGAATGAAACAAGTGAGAAGTGAGAAAAGGGGAGAAAAATCAAATTAAAAAAAAAAAATGACGAAAATGGTATAGGTTAGGTGGTGAAGAAGTGCAGAGAGGTCAAACCATGCCAAGACAGTGGACAATATGAAGTGAGAAGTAGTAAGAGCAAAGCTAGTGTCATCAGTAATCACCAGTCCAGTACCGACGATAATAAAAAGTATTTTAAAAGTCTACATTTAGCATTCTGTAAGTATTCTGGAAATATATGATGATGGAGAAAACAGAGGGGTTTTCTTTGGCTTGTGGGTATTTTGATGCCTAGAAACCTGAACATACACACTTCTCAAAAAAAAGACCAAATATAGATTAAGGGTTTAAATTCCAGGTAAAACATATATCATCCAGCCTAATTGCAAGTGCTGTACACAAGCCTGTATGTATATGCTTAGCAAATGGAAAGAATCCATTTGCAGAGCATTTGCAGAACAGGAAGAAAATTTCAACTCAGAGATTCAAAAATATGAATTCTTCCAATGCTAAAAGTGCATAAGGGATTCCATTTATATGGAAAGATATAACATCCTCATCCAATGCATTACAGCCACACCTGCATGCATCTGGAATATATACTTGTTCAGCATTGCATGTGGTTTTATACCTACGCTTTTTTTTTTTTTTTTTTTTTTACCTAGTGCCAAACTCTGTAACTTTGGATACTAAAATCCATGCAATATTCCAAGAAACGTAGGCAAGCTGGCTGCTACTTTAGATTGTACAAAATGAGTGTTTGGAAACCATAGTCAGTACAAGAACAGAGGAAGTGCTTTTTACAGGAAATACTTATCACACTTGGCAATAATTATATAGTTAATAAAACTATGTGGTTACAGCTATGTTAGCTCAATCCCACTGCAAACACCATGTATTTGTCTCAGCAGAGCAGCAGTCAGCACACCAAGCAATGTTCTGTGTCCAGACTAAGAAGCACTGTAATGTTTCTAGCCACAGTCTTCTCAGTAAATGAGGATCAGAGACACCCTCCAGCTTTTGGCAAACGTACAATTCCTAGCATAACACAATTCTGAAGGGAAGAAATAAAGTCATAGCTCCGAAAGCCCTTTACCTATATAGCAGAACTTCTCTGAAGTAAGAGCTATTTCCTATAACTAATCACATGATAACATTTTGTGAATGTGATTATTAGCCTTGGAGAATTTTTCAAGACTTCTACAGGTTTTCTGACATGAGGGCAGCAAGAAGCAAAAAGTGCTGAAATCCACCACTACTGAATGGGTAATTCTTTGGGAAAAAAAAAGAAAACTTGAGAACAAAAGTGCTGAGCCATCGCTTATTACTTCTGTGAATGGACTCCAAATCTTTAGTTCTGTGCCACTGCCATCACTAGGCTTTATTTCTGCCCAGATAAAACTTATACCCACTGCTCTTTCAGGCATGTCCACTGACCCCAACCCAAAATGCACAGGATTTACTATTTGCATATGCAAGAAATAACATATAAATTGTCTTTTGTAATTTTCTAACTTCCTTATTAGTACTTAATTAGGGTGTGCGTATGTCCAGAGATAAACTTCACTGTCATATATCACACTTGTTGAATATATTTTAAATGGTGGAAAATTTAAATTTTCTTCCTTTCATCCAATGTTGTTCTTAGAATGACAAATAAAATCATCTGTCAAGATTTTCCATTTTCCTCTGAAAGACCAAAACCATCTGTTTAAACTTTCTTAAAGATAAGTCAAGCTTTTGCTTAGGAAGCAAGTCTTTTTAATACAACCTTTCTTTTAGTTGAAACCACGTTTCTATTGAACAACTTTTGATATGAAACCTCCAGCCAACCTTACCACAGATGTTCCAGGATATTTAGATTTCTTAAAGCACATACAAAGTTCTGTATATGAGAAGGGATTATGCTGATCTTAACTCACAATAGCCTGCACTATTTGGTGTGCAGAATGAAGTTCCTGCATCTTTAATGCTTAGTTCCTTAGTTTCCCGTCCCCTCTTCCCTTTTCTCATACATCATATCTAGCCTAAAATCTGTATCTTACGTGAAGCATTTTATCTTTCCTTACTTAAGCTAAGGCCTTCAACATCTACAATCTTCTGCAACATTTTGAAGAGTGGGCAAGGAACCCACTCCCAAATTTGGGTCAGAGCAAGATCCTGCTGTTTGCTTTAGGTATGACAACTACAGCTAGTTCACATTCCTGGTGATTTTTCAGAAAGTTGAAGTATTTTGTTTCATACTCCCCTTCAAGTATTTATGCTCAACATCTCATCAAAAGCAGCAAGCAAAAAAATAAAAAAGCTTTACTCCCGGGCTAGAAGACTATCAGCACTGAGAAGAACTGATCTGAGTGTGAGGCTTACCAGAAGCTTTTTCATTTACATCAAATCTGCAACGTGCTTAGTGTCAAACTGCTTTATAGCTGAGAATAACCTAGCTAAGCCACGGGTTGCCTCTGGCTTCTCAGCAGGACACTGCATAGTGCAGGTGAAGCACTGCAAGCCCAGCCAACTCTTGTGGCGTCTCCTTGGCTGGTGGGCCTGGGTGGAGCAAGCAGACATAGCAGAGTGCACCTTGCAAGGCTCAGGCTAATGCTACCTGTCGAAGAGAGTCAGATGAGGGTGAAGAAGGACGATTAGAAGAACGGAGGCTAAGGGAGAGCTCCCACTGGTCAACAAAGAAGCGGCGAGACGGTTCAGTCTCGGGCTATAAAATAAAATAAAGATCAAGACAGTCATACAAGGCTACGGAGGATAAAACAGGAGAAAATAAAAACAAAAATGCAGGCCATTCTGCTCACTATGAAAAGCTTTCATAAAGATTCCTATAGGAAAAAATTGAAAAAAAAATGTCCATCACACCTTACTTTTTTCTCTAGTGAGGTAGAAACTAATAACTGTTTATTTTATACACAGATATTCTGTACTTAAGACCATCAACATTTACTCATATTGCTTTTTAAAAATTCTTACTTGGCTTTCTTCTTTCATTGCTTTACTTTTTCTAACAAGTAAGTCTTTTCTAACAAGTCTTTCTTTTCTTTAAATCCCATGCTATAATCTATCTTCTGTACTGTTCCAACATCTGTTTCCTCTTTTCCGTTCTACCCTGCCCCCTTATCCTTTTTTTCCACTGTGTTATGTCTCCCTTGTATTTTCTCTCTCCTAACTGTATGAATATATTAATGGAACAGTCTCAAAATAATTCTTCTTTTGCAGTCCAATGCTGTTAATCCTTTTTACCCTTACAAGGACCTTTAAAATACTAGAAAGCAACACAAAAAGCAGGATAAAGGTATATAAGCCTAGATGTTATCTTCTCTGTCATCCTTTCAATTGGGTAGTGAAATGCACAATGCCAGTTGTTTCATCCATTAACAAATAGAGAGAAGGGTATTTAAACTAGTCTTCTTACCCAGTATTTCCTGGCTTCTTCTAGATTTCCAACATCCTATTTCAAACCCAAGCAGCTGCTCACTCTTTCTTTCTCGAGAACAGCTTCATGGATTTTAAGATTATGGCCCCAAAGAAGAGCAGTTCAAAAATGACCTACGGCTTATAAATTTCATTTAGACATGGCTTGGTAAAGTTATGTCCCAGAACTCTGGGCCTGTTTATATGCAAGTCAATTAAGGCAAGAGAAGATAGGTCAATTCCGGATGGCTAACTTAAAACAACAATATCTGGAAAAAAAAGTAGATGGCATTTTCCAAAAGCACTCTCCTTTTTGCCAAATGCTCAACTGAAAACATAAATAGGGCGAAGAAACAGAAACTAAAGAATTCGCTGCTCAAACTGACACCGTCCCATAGGTCAGAGCAGACACATAGAAGACAAACTTGAGCACAAGAACAAAACAAAAGTTTCCACTGGAAACAACGAAAATCTGCATGAGTTGCCAACTTTCCTGTTGGAACTAAGAATACAGGAAGTATGGAAACAAAACCAGTACTGCAGAGCCAGAAATGCTTGGAAAGTGCAGATGTTCTTGTGCCCAGAAGCAAGCAGAACTCGTGAGCAACCGACTGGTAAAAGACAGCTGTGAGATGGTTTGATCTGGAGTCCAGTTCTTTTTCAATATGCACTCTGAAGCTTAAAGAGTGTTTCTTACCTTATTGTTGATAAGAGTGTTTTTTGAAACAGAAATGTTGTCATTTCTCAAGGAAGAAGAAAGTTAGGAACTGTCAAGTAGGATAGAAAACTGCAAAAATAGACTGTCTT